GGGAGATGCGGTTCAAAATATTCACCTAAGTATCCTTCTGACCCAAAATACGCATATAGTATTGTCTTGATTAGTGTGAGGAGCTGGTTCTGTCACCTGACGATATTTTTCTGTGGCATTCCTCCTAAAGCCAGTCTTTACAGTAATGCCCGAAATTCGAAAGTTGTAAAGAACCCGCCAGACACGGCGAGCGTACTAGTTGAACAGAAAGCGGAAGCAATCGAGGAAGATTTAACTGTTTCGGCCCACTAATCCGTTGCGATGGCACCATTCAGTCAGTTAAGTAAAAGGATTGCCCTCGCCTCTAGTACTTTTCGTAAACTCTCAGATATTTGGACTGAGAAAAGAGTATTCCTTTTTACTAAAATTTGCATTCACCGTACCCAATGCTAAGTGATGGTGTTGTACGGCATAGAACTAGTTGTTCCAAAGAAAGGTTAAAGCGACAGTTAAATTGCGGATTGCAGTGTTAGCTTCGACACATAATGATGATTAAATGGCAGGACCGCGTAAAGAATGATTCTCTTCTCTTCCTGGCACATCAACAGTTGATTTTAAGATTACGAACGAAGGTTGATAGTGTTAGACAACCTGGTTGAGGATACACAATCTACTCCAGTGAGCTTTTCGTATGGGAGTCGAAACAGGGCAGACGCATAACAGGAGGCCAGCATGCGACATAGAAATAAAGTAGAGGTAGATCTGCTCTCGGAAAGGAATATCTGTTTCTGTGGTGCAGTAATATGTTGTTGCAAAAGTCCTGTTGTTCAGCATAACGGACATCACGAACCAGAGATTTTCTGCTTATGCAGTCGAGACAGCTCAAGGTGATGATCATCAAAAACGTATTAACAGATGCTTTTCTGGCGATGCACGCTTTTGATTAGGTGCGCATTTGTTTAAAGGGCGAAATTATGTACTCAGCTGAAGCTTTGTATTTCTTGTCAGATCATTTATATGTTTTCCCATGTGTTGATTAAAGAAGTTATATGACAGCATGTCCAGCTAACTACGCCGTTTGAAAATAATTTAGTTTGCCTTTGATAGTATGAACTCAAGACTGCGTTCTCTCGAGCCTGCTGTTTTTCAGTCTTACCAAAGAGTTCTGAGTACATGAGTTTCAGCACTGCATGAAACACGCAGTTGGCACTGCGGTAATTTTTTGAGGAACATTCATTATGTGGTTCATTGTATGAAAGATCTCAACGACCCGTGGAATCGAGCCAGCTCCAGCGGACAGAATGTATTTTTTGGCTCAGAACACAGGCACTTAAGCTTTAGAGCATTCCTTTAACATGGCTAGTCTTCTCGAGCAAGAATTAGTAGAGCAGATATCCAGTATGGTTTACTTTGGCTTGGCCATAAGTGACAAGTTGACATGGAGTGACCAAGTAGAACACATCGCAAGAAAGCTACAGAAAGTATCGTATTATATGAATGACAATCGACGTTTCATCATGTAGAAGGAGATCCGTTGGCGGTTGGGCGCAGTGGCATCATTTCAATGGCTGTCAGTGTTTCTCTCATATTTTGGGACCCTGAATGTAAGAGATTTCATAGCTTTATATAATAGATCATTAGCATGTGCAAGTGAATCCATTTTCGGGATACTGTGGCATCTTTGATTGATACTGTAATTTCGAAAACAATGTGCTTCGTCAGAGCTCTAGATCTTGTGCAACGTAGAACATCAGTTGCATAACAACATGGATAAAAGGCGTTTTCTATATGGTTGAACTTCTGTGGAACATCATCTGAATGCTGCCAAGAACGGACATCCAAAGATCTATTTTTCATTTCTTCGTTTTTTAATTGGTGTTAACAAGTTTGTTGCCGGTCAAGAGAATCTCCATGTTGAAAATTGCAGCTAAGCCAACGCACGATGGAAAACAATTATTTTTTTATTTTATCAGTAGTAGGCGTATAGACGACGTGATGTAACGCCGTTGAAAGCAGTTGCTCTTATAGCTGTTATAGCATTATGAAATTTGATCTTATGTTGATACTTTCGGCTTTCTTGCGTAGCATCTGATCACTGGCCCATATTCTGTTTTGGCATGCTCTTAAGTAGCTTCAACTATCTAAAAACATTTGCATAAAACTTCTAGAAACGAAACAAAATAGTCTGATAGATTGTGATAGATTTTTGATGCGGAAAA